TGTCTCATCTGTTTCTATTGTCCTCCAGGATTGTGTGGTCCAGTTCCTAGTCGCTTAACCTTCTTAGTTCTGGCACTATTCATGTTGTTAACATCTGTGCCTTTTCTTAGTTTTATATTTCACAACTAAGGCGGTATAGATTGTTTTGAAAGAGTCTTAATTCATGTTTCTAAACGGCGTCTTAATATTTACCAGAGTCCCATATACTGCTGTTGCTACCTGATTTATGTGTGACTCCGATGTGCGTGTTGCAATTAGTAAATCTCTTCCTCTCTCTGATTCCTGTAGTTGCCAAGCATTTATACTGAAAACACATACTTCTACCCCATGCTCATTACTTCTACTACTTCTACTCTCTACCCCATGCTCATTAGCTCATTAGCTTTGCATCGTCTGCAAGTATTGCGTGTGAGAGTTCATTTTCTTGGATAGATCATTCACATAAATTAAGAACATCAGAGGTCCCAGGACCGAGCCTTTTGGGGACACCTCACTTCTTACATTTCTCCAGCTAGAGATCTCGCGTCTGATTGTGACTCTATCTTCTGTCCTACAGTTCAGGGCCTAACCAATTATCCCAGCTTGCTTCTCCGTCGTGTACACCAGCATATCTTGTACACCAATACAAGAAGAAAGAACCGTATCAAATGATTTTTGACAGTCCAGGAAAATGCAAGAAAATAATTAGGGCTAAACCTAACATTGCCATGCTTTCTGCAGGAAGCTGCAGAGATACTTCGTCAACAAGTAGTGAGAAATAGCAACCATCAGTCTTGCCTATCGGGTAATTACGTCAGCACTAACAACAATCAAGACCCCCCCACGCTAAACATCACCAGCAACCAACATTAGTAATCAACAACAACCAGTAACAAGTTCTCTCTCACACAATTAATAAAGACACTCTTTTATTAGTATCCAGCACAGACGAGCTGTCACGAACGCCACTGATCAAATAGGTATAGTCACGAAGTTCTTGGCTTGTATAATACTAGGCGTCCAGGCAGTTACTTCAGTGGCGTTATGCAGTGGGCAACTCTTATCAGGGGGGAACGCGCCAAGCCATTACGATTATAGAGCACTGGGAAGGGGCCAGGATAAGGATTTGGGATGAGACGGGGGGAAAGGAATGGTGCCCAACCACTTGGACGGTTGGGGATTGAACGTCGACCTGCATGAAGCGAGACCGTCACTCTACCATCCAGCGCAAGGGGTTGGGAGCCTTTCGATGTTTTATTTAGCTCGTGTGTACTTCGATGAGTAGGCGAGTGAATGCACTGGTAAGTGAGTTGGTAGGTGAGTGCGTGGGTGGGTGATTGAGTGAATGAGTGCGCCATATAGTGCATACACTCGGCATCCAGCTTGACTTGCACCAGTTCCTATACCCTGCCACGACAAAAGAAACAGAGGGGATATGATCCCAACACACAAAATCCTGAGGGAGGAATAGAAAAGGTGGAACATAGACAGTCTCTTTAAACTAAGAGAAAGTAGGACAAGAGGACACAGAAGGAAGCTGAAAACGCAAATAAGCCTAAACATATGTGTGAGTTGATCTCCTACCACAGACTTGGCCACACATTTCCAATGCTAACCAGCCCAACACACTTTATTCTGTCCTCCTTGGTCAGGGTTGGAGATTTCAGAGACTTTTTATAGTATAGTGAGTTATTGAACACTACAATCACAGGTGACTGTAGTGTTTTAATAAAGCTAACAATACGTACAATAACGTATTGTATGCAAGCATTGAATGTCCTACATAATGTCCCTGGACCCTGTCCCATACATAATGTCCCATATCTCGAATCAGGATTCGAGATATGTTCTCCTATACACGCGCATACACAACCCCACACGCCCACACCTAATCCCACACACCCTCACACAGTACAACATGCCCTCACACACACACACACACACACACACACACACACACACACACACACACACACACACACACACACACAACGCACACTGTGGCGCTGGAAGACAGAAGAGTTAGGGGGGACATGATCACCACACACAAGATTCTCAAAGGAATTGATAGGCTGATAAAGACAGGCTATTTAACACAAGAGGGCACACGCACTAGGGGACACAGGTTGAAATTGACTGCCCAAATGAGCCATTGAGATTTAATAAAGAATTTTTTTTTTTGTCAGAGTAGTTGACAAATGGAATGCATTAGGAAGTGATGTGGTGGAGACTGACTCCATACACAGTTTCAAGTGTAGATATGATAGAGCCCAATAGGCTCAGGAACCTGTACACCAGTTGATTGACAGTTGAGAGGCGGGACACGAAGGCGTCAAGAACACCTCCCACCTACGTGAGACCAGCACTAGAGTGCAAAGCCATAGCTGTGTGGTCTTCATGACCACATCATGACCCAACTGTGTTATTCATGAGCAAAACAAAGATATCATAGATGTGGTTCTAATGACCAAAAAATGATGGCGTATGTGTAGTTTTAATGAACAAAAGATGGCATAATACTGAGCTTCGTGACCAAAATATGACACATGTGATTTCAATGACCAAATCAAAACGCAGTCGGTAGTAATTTTTTCATTTTCCACACTACCACACACATATATTTTCCTCGAAATCCATAATAATTATTCATTTATGCAAGAGCATCTCGGAGAGGTCGACAACATCTCTCCACGACACTGACGATTTGACTTCAACTCCAAATCAGTTTTCCCTCTTCAGCTTCGAACAAATTGACCATCTCAATTATAATTTATTCCGGCGCCAGATATACCTGTAACTACATCATTTACAATAAATAATAAGAACAATAATAAGTGACATAAGAAAAAAGAACAGATTTAGGGATTCATAATATCTAAGCACTTAATTTATATTTTTGAAATTCAAAAAGTCCTTCAAAAGGACGTTCAAATAGACCATCGGGATATCGGAGCGCGAAGCTGTTTACGTAATGGCGATCTTGTAGCTACGATCGGCCTGTGAGGTCCGTTGCCTCCTCAAGGCGTTGATCAAGACATCAATGGCCGTTAAGATCCTCTGGTGACGTCACGGACTTCCAGCAGGTATCGTGTATTCCGCTGCCTGTGCGCCGCCGCTTCTGCGCATGATATTATCGCCATTATTAGTGAGGCCCATCGCCGAACTGACAGAGATGAATCGCAGAGAAAAGTCGTGTTGATGTCTCCTTCGGTTCATTCGTCAGCTCCTAAACATGCATGTGACGTGGCGCTCCATGATTGGTCATTACGCTTGAAGTACGTGACGCCGAGCGATGCGATTGGACAGCACATTGCCCCAGGTGACAAGTGATTGGCTGATGATGGATGAGCTCGGTGCCAGGAAAAACAATTAGTCAGATTCATGGCGATAAGGCTCGCCTATATTCCCCCAGTCGACGAGGCGGTCATGGAGGGTACAGGGTGACACAAAAACCCGTCCACTAACCGCTGCGACATTCGGCCGAGCTGCCTAGTTATCGTCGCCACCATCTCTGATTCGACGTGTTCGATCCATTGATCACCCTGTTGTCCGTATCAACTTTTTGCACCTCCCGGCGGACCAGATCTGTGGCCATCACCACCAGCGACGCGGTGTTTATCAGGGCGACGGCTGCGGCCAGCCAGACGGCGAAGGAAGGAAGGGAGAGAGAGAGAGGAGGAGGGATTGACCATGAGTATCTCTCTCTCTGCCTGTCTTTTTCTTCCTTCCTGTCTATGTTTTTCTCTGTTACTTCTTTCCTGTCTCGTGTCCTTTACAGTGGCATCCTTTTCCCGTTTTCTGCCACATCTTTTTTTGTCAAGTTGTTGCTTCTAAATCAGAATAAAACTAAATTAGTTTACACTTTTAAGTCTATCATTTCCTCACAGCTTACTGACCACCTCTCTTTCTATCCATTCACCCTTATTCCTTTCCTCTTTCCTTATCTTTTCACCCCTCCCCCTCACTTCCCTCTTCTTCCTTCCGACAAGAGTATCGCCCATATCGCGGTCGGTACAGATCACCCGGATGCTAGCAAGAGCCTCACATCTCGCGTTGTCTCGGGGCATCACGTGATGCCCCGACCCGGCAGCCACCAGCCACATGAGGTAATCCACAGATCAGCTGACACCCGCCCGACCATTATCTGAACAGATGTCGACTTTCCGACTCTCCAGGTCGACATTTCTCTCTTGCTGGACGGTGTCCCAAGTCCCCGAACATGTCTACAGGGATGTCCTCTAAGACTATAAGCGGCCGGGAGGTTCCCTAGCTGGTTTCCTAGACAATGTGTGTTGGGAATTGTGGTTTTCTTGTTTGTGATTGGTTCTGGCCCTCGTAGGTGTTGATTCGCGAATGTCTACGACGTTGTGGGAGAAACAGTCAAAGCATTTGAGCACCGTCCCTATGTTGTACTATCATGTCATCTTTGTAGAGTTGGAATTTATTGTGGTGTTGGCGATTGTGATGGGGCTGAGACAATGTGTATGTCCGAAGAACTTAATCTCCAAGGTAGTTCAGGAAGAGTTATTAGGAAAATATCAACCACACCTTTGCTACACTCTACATGTGCTCTATGAGGTGTTGCAACATTGACTACACCCCTACATGAACTCCATGAGGTGTTGCAACACTCACTACACCCCTACATGAGCTCCATGAGGTGTTGCAACACTCACTACACCCTACATGAGCTCCATGAGGTGTTGCAACACTCACTACACCCTACATGAGCTCCATGAGGTGTTGCAACACTCACTACACCTTGCTTAAAACTCTGAGGTGTATCCATCGAGCTTGCTATCTTCTTTTTAAGAAAAATCATTTTACTTCACACTGCCTTATCAATCGTGCAATTAACAAAAAAAATATCAAATATATTATTTTAACATCAAATGAGCTAATATTTTCGTTGTTTATTAATATTGACATTACATACCATTTTATAATTTTTTAATTTTTATTGCACAATAATATAAATTAAGGATAATCACAATGTATACAAATATTTTGCAAATACTTTTTTATTGGAGTCGAAGGTCGTCTTCCACAGCGGCTTCCCAATCCTCCTGCTCCTCATCATTCCTACTCATGACACTATCTGTGGGATGAACATCTACCTCATTATATCTGTTCACTGTTCTTATACTCATGAAGTCCTCATTATGCCTGCTCTCTGTTCTTATGTTGATGAAGTCCTCATAATACCTGCTCACTGTTCTTATGCTGATGAAGTCCTCATTATACCTGTTCACTGTTCTTATACTGATGAAGTCTTCATTATACCTGCTCACTGTTCTTATACTGATGAAGTCTTCATTATACCTGCTCACTGTTCTTATACTGATGAAGTCCTCATTATACCTGTTCACTGTTCTTATACTGATGAAGTCTTCATTATACCTGCACACTGGTCTTATGCTGATGAAGTCCTCATTATACCTGTTCACTGTTCTTATACTGATGAAGTCCTCATTATACCTGCTCACTGTTCTTATACTAATGAAGTGCTTCCTTACATCTCAATGGCTCATCTTAGTTACTATTTCTTCCTACACGCCCTCGAGGCCTCTCGAAGTGGATGGTGAACGTGGAAATCGTCTTCCACCTTCGTCAACGCCGCAGTGATTGATTTTGTATTCTTTTATATATGTAAATCGTCTCTTGTTTCCTATTTTCTCTCAAAGTGCTGCTTAGATCTTTCATCCTGTTCTCGTAGCTCAGCCTTCACAGTCCAGAGATCTGTCTTGTGGCAACGTTTTCTGACTTCTTACAATTTTGCACTGAACTTTTTGAAGTAGAGACAACACACTGAATCTATACATTGTATTATGTGGGTGCTCACCCTAGTTGTACTCATCTAGTTGTGCTTGCGGGGGTTGAGCTCTGGCTCTTTGGTCTTGCCTCTCAAATGTCAATCAACTGGTGTACAGGTTCCTGAGCCTACTGGGCTCTATCATATCTACACTTGAAGCTGTGTATGGAGTCAGCCTCCACCACATCACTTCCTAATGCATTCCATTTGTCCACTACTCTGACACTGAAAAATTCTTTTTAATATCTCTATGGCTCATTTGGGTACTCAATTTCCACCTGTACCCCCTAGTGCATGTGCCTCTTGTGTTAAATAGTCTGTCTTTAGCCTATCAATTCTTCTGAGAATCTTGTATGAGGTAATCATGTCCCCTCTAACTCTTCTGTCTCCCAGTGACGCGAGGTTTAATTTCCGTAATCTCTCCTCGTAGCTCATACCCCTCAGTTCTGGTACTAGTCTGATGGCAAACCGTTGAACCTTTTCCAGTTTAGTCTTTTGGAGCCGCATACTCCAAAATTGGTTTGACATATGTGGTATACAAAGTTCTGAAAGATTCCTTACACAAGTTTCTAAAGACCGTTCTTATGTTAGCCAACCTGAAAACATATATATGTGTGTGTGTGTGTGTGTGTGTGTGTGTGTGTGTGTGTGTGTGTGTGTGTGTGTGTGTGTGTGTGTGTGTGTGTGTACTCACCTAGTTGTACTCACCTAGTTGTGTTTGCGGGGGTTGAGCTCTGGCTCTTTGGTCCCGCCTCTCAACCGTCAATCAACAGGTGTACAGATTCCTGAGCCTATCGGGCTCTGTCATATCTACACTTGAAACTGTGTATGGAGTCAGCCTCCACCACATCATGTGTGTGTGTGTGTGTGTGTGTGTGTGTGTGTGTGTGTGTGTGTGTGTGCCAGCCTACCCGGCTACACTTACATGTACACCTACCTCCAACAAGATCGTGGTAACTGTAACACCAGTGGACGCGGTGTTGCTTATCCTTCCTGTCATTATTACTGAGAGCAAAACCTTTCTCTTGTATTCTCTTCCCTAACCCAAACATCTTGTGTAATACTTTCTCTTCTCTTCTGTCTCCAGCTTTTTCGTCTCCTTTTCCACTTCGCTCTTCCTGTCTGTGTCAACTTTCTCTTCTGTGTCTACCATACTTCAGTGTATTCACTTTTCCCGTGTGTGTCCACATTTCTTTTCTCATCTAAGTCTAGTGCTTCATCTAATCCCCACCTAATAGTTCTTATCTAACAGAGTTTGCAGAATGGAACATCAGCTCCTGGGCCCCACCTCGTTACTCAATAGAAGCCCCACTGCGATAGTAGAAGCCAATTTGTTTTTTTGTTTTTGTTTTTTAATTCTTTTCCTGTTGTATCAATTTCTCCTTACACGAAGGAGTTATTTCTTTGCTGTCGTTGAACTCACCTCATTGTGTCTGCAGGACCAAGTGTCAGTTCCTGCTGGCTTAACATTCCCGGCTGTCTGTTGTCTACTGTAATTGATTTCAACTTTCCCAATTTATATATTATACACAAACACTATCAACTCTCCTTTCTATATACTAAACGGAGAACAAGCACACACACACTCCTTCTCAGTCACTCCACAGTCAACAGACACGCACACACTCCTTCTCAGTCACTCCACAGTCAACAGACACGCACACACTCCTTCTCAGTCACTCCACAGTCAACAGACACGCACACACTCCTTCTCAGTCACTCCACAGTCAACAGACACGCACACACTCCTTCTCAGTCACTCCACAGTCAACAGACACGCACACACTCCTTCTCAGTCACTCCACAGTCAACAGACACGCACACACTCCTTCTCAGTCACTCCACAGTCAACAGACACGCACACACTCCTTTTCAGTCAATCCACGGTTAACAGACACACACACACTCCTTCCCAGTCACTCCACAGTCAACTGGCACACACACACTCCTTCCCAGTTACTCCACAGTCAACAGACACACACACTCCTTCCCAGTTACTCCACAGTCAACAGACACACACACACTCCTTCCCAGTTACTCCACAGTCAAGAGGCACACACACACTCCTTCCCAGTTACTCCACAGTCAACAGACACACACTCCTCAGTCACTCCACAGTCAACAGGCACACACACACACTCTTTCCCAGCCACTCCACAGTCAACAGACACACACACTCCTTCCCAGTCACTCCACAGTCAACAGACACACACACACTCCTTCCCAGTTACTCCACAGTCAAGAGGCACACACACACTCCTTCCCAGTCACTCCACAGTCAACAGGCACACACACACACTCTTTCCCAGCCACTCTACAGTCAACAGACACACACACTCCTCAGTCACTCCACAGTCAACAGACACACACACTCCTTCCCAGTCACTCCACAGTCAACAGGCACACACACACTCCTTCCCAGGAACAATCAGTACCTCCCTGTAGTTATCAAGTGATCAGGGAAGGTCTCATTAACTGTCGGAGGGCTGGACGTTAAGGTCTGACCTGCTCTCCACCCCCCCCCCCCCCATCCCAGTCTCTCTCTCATTAGTGCTCTTCCTCTCTCTCTCCTACCTTGCTCTCTTATCTCTTCTTTCTCTTTCCTCTTCTCTTTGCTTATTCTCGTTTCTCTCATTACCATTCTCTCGTTCTCGGTTTCGCACCCATCTCTTTTACGAGTCTTTCAAATTCCCATTTTCTCTATTACCTTTCTGTCATTTTCTCTTTTCATTTCATTCCCTCTCTCATTCCCACTTTCTATTTCAGTCTTTCTTTTCTCCTCTCTTTCTTAGTCTCTTATTTGTTCTCTCTTCTTCCATTCTCTCTGTCTTTACTTTTTCTGTAATTTTTTTCTGACTTTCTCACTTCTCACATTCCATTTCTCACTAGTTTCATCTTCTCTTTCCTACCCTCTCTTCTTCTCACTTTCTCTCCTCTCCTCTCTCATTCCTCTCATCGTTCTCTCCTTTCTTGTATTTCTCTCTCTCTTACTTCTACTCTCCTAACTATTGCTGACTTCTTGTCTCATGTTCTTTGCTCTGATGCGCATGCGCATGCGCATGCGAGAGATTTATATGTGTATGCACATGAACAAACATGAACCAAGCCTGAGCGCTTTCAAGCACAGGTCATGTGCCTATTTGAAAGGGTTCAGACTTAGTCCCTTTTCCGTTCACATGGGATTGACTAGCATTTTTCCAGATCAGTATTTTGATCATATTTGTACATAAATAGATGAGAGGCAGACTGCTCTAGACACACCAGCAGATCCCGCGCTTCAGCAGACAGCGACAGACACGCAAGCAGACCCCTGCGCTTCAGCAGACACGCAAGCAGCCCCTGCGCTTCAGCAGACACGCAAGCAGCCCCTGCGCTTCAGCAGACACGCAAGCAGCCCCTGCGCTTCAGCAGACAGCGACAGACACGCAAGCAGACCCCTGCGCTTCAGCAGACAGCAACAAACACGCAAGCAGACTTTCAAGAATCGAGTTTCTTGCCTGCACAAGGTCAGTAAATGCCTCGTCTATACTCGCCTTCTGATCAGGCCCAACTACTCATGATGATAACCACTGACCAATTTCCTTGTTTACCATCCGGCGCCTAATCTACGAAACTCACAACACCATTACCAACAAATCCAACAGCTTCACCGCTCTGTTATTTTGTTGCGTATATCGTGGATCCTTACAGCGTGATCGTGACGTAGCAACAAAGGTAGGAAAGGCGTGATAAGAGGAGGGAAATGATCGAGTGAGAGGGTAAAGGGCAGAGGAGCAAGCGAGAGAGAGAGAGAGAGAGAGAGAGAGAGAGAGAGAGAGAGAGAGAGAGAGAGAGAGAGAGAGAGAGAGAGAGAGTTTCACGATCTGTTGTTGAAGCGAACTACAAATTCTCGGTCAGGATACTTAAGATAGTCATTATATTGATGGGATCTGTGTGTTTGTGTGTGTGGGGACACGCCTATTTGTGCCGCAGGGATTCAAGTCCAGCTCCCAACCTTCTCTGGTTATCTTGTCTAATTTTGAGTCACTTGTTTGAAGTTTAGTTTAGTTTCTCCTCTATTTCTTTATTATTTTTTGTTAACTAAGATTAGGGTTCATAAGGGCAGTCAAATGACGTACCCAGTGAAACTGCAAGCAAGAGGTGTTATCCTACATCAGTTCATCTGAAGCCTGCTCCTAAAGACTCATTTACTTAATGAGAATGTACTTTGAAACTAGCACATAGGGAACTATCCTAAAGAAACTATCAAATATGGAACCTGGTGACCTCCTTTATTTTCTTTGTGTTCCTTTGTGTTCCAATGTGAAAGGAATAATTCAGGAACAGTTTAAATTGCAAAAGATTGATTTTTAGGATTGAAAATTTGACGTGAATGCCTTATGCTGGAGAAACATAAGAGGATATTATATTGATGGGAAGGATGTAGTAAATGTTATTAGAAGAGTACTGAACGAAATAAGAAAGAATGAGTGAACAAGACGGTTAAGGAAAATAGTTTTTTGCGGCAGTTTTTAGAACGGGATCGATATTTCTGAAACTTATGAAATAACTGTAATGAATAATCAGAGAAGCAAATCCGAAAAAAACTCTTAAAATTACTTAATAGGTGAAAATGGAGGCCATCGAAAAAAACAAAAACAAAAGCGCTATATTTAAAGATAATTGATCCACAAGATCTTCTCTGAGTACTCTTTATTTTCTTCTTCGAGGTTGTGGGTCCCTACAAATGCAATAGAGGTGGTACCCCTAAAATAATTGTATTTTATATATATATATATATATATATATATATATATATATATATATATATATATATATATATATATATATATATATATATATATATATATGAGTGAGGTTGAGTGTAGTGATGAGTTGAGTGAAGGTGGAACTAGAGTGATGGGAAGTGGAGTGGAGGGATGGGGGATATAATGAATGTGTTGAGGATATCTGTGGGTGTGGGGGGGGGAGGAAGTGTAATAATGAGAGGTATAAACAGTTTATATCCCCCCTTGTTTGATGATATTATCTCACTATGAGATATACAGATACGATATATCGATCCCACCCAACCACTCTAAAAAAATTATTAATACTGACTCATATATATATATATATATATATATATATATATATATATATATATATATATATATATATATATATATATATATATATATATATATATATATATATATATATATATATATATATATATATATATATATATATATATATATATATATATATATATATATATATATATATATATATATATATATATATATATATATAATGAAATCACAATGGTGTGATATATCATTGAAAATCATTTTGAAGATATGGAGTGACTTGAACTTGCGTTCTGGTGATTCTCAGACCCCTGACTTAACCGTCAGGCCTAGGGGTGTCTCCACCAATGAGAGGCCTCAGTGCCTTGAGGGTCATGAGCCAAGTAACTGTCCTCACTGGTCCGAGTACATATTCACCCTCTACAAGACTGTTGTTTGAAGGCTATATGTTTGTCTATCGGTTGTCTTCCTGTCTGCTTATTTATCTGTCTGACAGTCTTCGTGTCTGTTGCCTGCCCGTCTGCCCGTCTGCTCATTTGCTTGTCAGTTGAGCAGATAATCCTGTCAGGTCAGACACATCTGGTAATGTGTCTGTTTATTTGCCTGCCTACGTGTCTGCCTGTCTGACTATTTTCACGTGTACCAGACTGTCTATATATTTGTCAAATGGTTTGCATGTCTAGACTGGGATAATATGCAGTAGCGGACAGCAGCAGGTGTCTTCAGTAATAATTATTCTCAGGTGTCCTGCCGAAATCCGGTTCGTTTTCCCGTGTGTGTGTGTGTGTGTGTGTGTGTGTGTGTGTGTGTGTGTGTGTGTGTGTGTGTGTGTGTGTGTGTGTGTGTGTGTATACTCACCTCACCTATTTGTACTCACCTATTTGTGCTTGCGGGGGCTGAGCTTTGGCTCTCTGGTCCCGCCTCTCAATCGTCAATCAACCGGTGTACAGATTCCTGAGCCTACTTGGCTTTGTCATATCTACATTTAAAACTGTGTATGGAGTGAGCATCCACCAAATCACTGCCTACTGCAATCCACCTGTTAACTACTCTGACACTGAAAAAGTTCTTTCTAACGTCC